CCATGGTTAGGGTGTGGTTGGCATCTACTTGGAAAAATAAGTAAGCATGAATGTTAGCACAGTGTAAATTAAAGCACAACGTAAGCACTGAAGCCTAAAACAGACAGCTTGTGAGGCCGCACCTGGTACATCTTGCCTTATCCGTCCTGGAAGAAAATCCTGTAATAAGTTTACATGGAGAAGACCCTTCTTTCTTCTGTGCTGCTGTGGCGTACCTTTCACATCACCGGCCTTCACTACAGGTGCAAAACTCTCTCCATGCGAAAGCTCTCAAGGTCAGCATTCACGTGCACACCAGCCTCCAGTACAAGAACCAACTGTGCCAAGACTGGGCACAGAAGGAGTTAGCACGAAGCGGTTGTTAAAAGGCAGAAAAAGTGCTTCTCAAAGAAGGGTGAGATGCTTTTCCCTGGTTTTATATATGCAGAGATCTAATCCTGCAAACAGTTATTATTACTGTCGTTTTCGTGCAAACCAGCTCCAGTAGAGAGATCTGTGAGTAAAATGACATTAAAAATGATTCTTTGATATCTTTAAGATTACACACCCATTAGGGCCATGCCACGAACCTGAGAGGTCGATTACCCATTCCCCTGGTAACTAGATGCCATAAGGAAGGAGGTACAGGTGAGGGATAGCAATGACCATCCCGTAATTAAGATGCAGGAATGGAAGTCCTGACAGAATAGATTTTGGGGCTGCCTGTGCTACAAGACTTACTATGTACCCCTAAACCCACTGAACTTAATTGCTTCAGTTCATCCAGTTTTAAAGTGAGCTCAGATGCTATCTGAAAGTTTTAGTAGCATTTGTTATTTGGTATTTTGGTACTTTGAGAATTTATAGTAAAAGAATTATGAGCTCTCCCATTTAAGAGGTTGTACTCATTGTCATCTCAAACACTCCCATTGCTAGAAAAAAAAAAACAAACACTCCCTAACTTGAAGAAGCTGACTATTTAGTAAGATAGAAACTATTGCGACATCATGTGATTTGCTTGCTGCTAGGTGAAGTATTTAGTGCTTAGAACAACTCTTTAATGCTTCGTGATGTTGATAATTTAGGTTGTGCTCAGATGTCCATTATGTAAATTCTACCTCAAAGTATATTTTAAGAGTAATTTAAACAGGAATAAAAAATACAATTAATTTCATTGTCATCTAGGTTAAAAGACATTCAGATGAGTAATTTTGCTAAATAACATTGCTACTTATGTGAGAAACATGAACCAAAAGACCTCTTAAGTTTCAAAGATCTGGCCCATCAAGTTTCCACCTGAAGTTAAGCTTTAATCTCTTCTATCCAAAGTCACTTAAGATTGATTTCTACCCAAATGACTTCTATGCACACACTTGGCAGCTGTATTCCTGTTGCTCGGAACCCTGCCTGGAACAGGCTGACCAGCAGATGTCCCCAAATTCAAAATAATCACAGTTAAAGCTTCAGAAATCTTTACAGCCCTCTTGGACTTTCCAAAGCATGAAGCACCAGAGGCCATGAATACTCTCACTGCTTATTTGCAGTGTTGTAAAAACTGAAATTCTGCAATAGAGAATACTGGACAAGCTGCTGACACGAAGCATGTTTGCTATAGAAAAATTGTTTGGATATCAGATCACTTTTTATGATATACTACCTACTGATTGACAGTTCCTGGTTTAAACTTTTCTTTTCAAAGCCACTCTACTTTTTTTCCCCTAGAAGAGCAACCCCCCCCAGATATCACCTATAGCACTTTTTCTTGGAAGTTTAGATAGAAGAGGCAAGACTTTTTCCAAACTAGTATCAATTATTTTGACTTGGATATTACCAAACTCAAACTGACTTTTTTTGGCATACCAAATACTGCTTTTACACTTTTCCACAAACTATTTTAAAGCTGAGGAGGTTGCAGTAGGTTGTATATGCAAGAGGCTGACTTGTGGTGAAGGAAACAGGAGAGTCAGGTTAGTAAGAGGTTTAGGACACAGGCTATGAGCCATGCATTCTAGCTGTGCCCTTCCTCCCTACAAACACCGGAAATGTAACTTCATCTAATTCTTTGGGGTTTTTTTTTAAAAAAAAAAAAGAAAAAAAAGACTAGAATATTATGTAGGAGCAAGATGACTTGGAAGAGAGTGTAAGTGATTGCAGATTTGTCTGCAACCCTTCCACCCGTTTCTGGAAGGATGAGGGGACTACGTAGCACGTCCTCATTTGTGCCTCCTACTTGAATTCTGGAGATGTCAGAGATGTAAACCTACTAGGCTGTAAGCCTACCGTACTTATACTAACCTACCGATGTAAACCTACCAGGTTACACTGACCTTTCAGAGCACAAGGGCTATTAGGTGCTGGGAAATGGGAAGGTCCTCTTTTCCCAAGCAAGCTCCTGAAGAACACCTTTGGAGACTTGGCTTTCTCTCTCAAACATTCCTGTTCCTCTGAGATGCTCTTTTTATTATGGTCGTACCTGCATTTTGTGCCATGGATAAAATGAATGCTTCAAGTCCTCAACCCAGTGCTCAGGAAACTTTTGAAGTAAATGGAAAATGGATCATTTCCACCCCCAGCCACATTGACTGATGACCAGAATGCCAAACTTCTGATACTGTTGTTTACATGAAGATTTGCTTCTTAAGGAGGCTGAAAACTTAATTCTAACTTCACAGTTACAAGAATCAAGCACTATTTAACACAACTACAAGCAAAAGCATTAAAACACACACCCATGAAGTTAAAGAGGACTGCACAAAATTAGGTGAACTGGCATTAAAAGTTTATCCATTTCAGAAATATATACATTTATATAAAAAAGAAAATTAACACAAAAATTTACATATTTGCAAATGTTGTATTACACAGGTAAACACAGTGTTATGTTTTATATGTATTGGATTACATAAGTATTTTTACAGTTTAAAAATCTTAAGAGTATATGGTTGCAAGAAAAATTAAATACCTGAATAGGCCCCAAAGATAGCACACTGCAAGTATGACTGTCATGAGAAGTCAATTATTCCCAGACAGAGAAAAATTTACTCTGTAAACAGTATGTGTAAATACTGCAAGAAACTAGAACTTGCTCTGATACACACACACACACACATATATATATATGTCAAAAATATTTACCTGCTTTGTTGGCTGAGCCTTCTATAGAGTGGATCATATCAGGGTAGTGAACCACAGGGATACTCATTTAAAATAAAAGGACTCAGAAACTTAAAATATCCAAATTTCAGATTCTGTTCAATATTAAGTACTGCATATTCTTTACTTTACACACATAAAACCTATTACAGCAGGAACAGAGATCAAAAGACTGCTACTGTGTATGTCTCTTGCAAAAGATAGAGGCAGAGTTTCTTGCCTCAATTCCTATGTCTGGTCCCAATATTATATCTCTTTATTAAGGAAAATCCCTTAGGGATTAAATCCTGGTTTACTGTTTTCATAAAAAGAAAATTTTTATGCTGTAATGGTTTTGTTTATGTTTTTAAAGTTGTGACCATCTAACTGCAACAAGAGTAAAACTGACATGTAAAAACTTTGAAAAGGCAACAGAAAAAAAATGTAGTTTATGGATACGGATACAGACACAGACTGACAGAAACTAGATACCTTCTCCTGTTTCAGGAGTGACAGATTTTTTTTTTTTTTAAATTATTATTACAAGTCTTGTAAAGATTAGAGATGCGAGACCATTATAGCAGTACTTTTGAAACAACAAAGTTACTTAACAGGTCATTAAAATAAATGTCTCCTCTTTAGTAAAATTTAGGAATGGGGTAATTTTGGCATAAATATCAAGCCCTTGGTTTTAGGACACCTGTCCTCAAAATATTAGGGAACAAATTTTACAAGCACCCTGCTAATGCCTATCAGTGATGGTCTGGTAGTGCTGATAGTATGTTAAAAACAGATTTTATTTTGCATGCAGCTACAAACTGAGTAACAATTTCAGTAATGGAAAAATTCTTATTGAACTACAAAAAGGAGACTAGGAGAGTATGTTTTGCCCTAGAACAGAACAGAATGCAATGGGCTGACAACCTGATCCTAAGAGACTGACCACGAAGATTTATGGAGTGATAGTAGCATCACACTCATGGTTTCGGGGGGTGTGTGTGTGTGGGGGTGGGTGTGTGTGGGGGTGGGTGTGTGTGTGGGGGTGTGTGTGTGGGGGTGTGCGCGCGTGTGTGTGTGTGCGTGCGTGTGTGTTTTGTTTTAAAGAACCTTTGATGATGGCAATATGAGAGAAAACTGCTAGTCAGAATTTGGGGTATTCAAAAGACTCCCTCCCTTCCTCCGTAAGCTTAAGTAGTCCCTTCTCTTTTCTCCTACCCATTAAAAATACTAGTGGCAACTACCCTTCCAGTTCAGAACTAAGTAATGGGGCTCCCATGAAAGCCAGGTCAATATTATTCCACGTCTATCTGAAGTGCACGTCATTAAGTAATATGTGGGATGCCATAACCGTATCAGTTGGCTAGTACCCTGGTATTGATTACTGCAGACATTGTAATCAGAAGTTACATTTACATACGAGGTGGCTTAAAAAAAAAAAAAGCCACATTTCCTCATGATTTTTGCCTATAGTAAACCAAATTATTTGCATAGAAGTCTTCATTATTTATATGTCAACTATACAAGTAATACAAAAACTCTCAGTTGAGCACCAGTGCTGACTTAAGGAGCAATACCTTCAAGTCAGAGTATTAGTATTCCATGTCACAACTGAATTCTGATATCCTTTCAGAAGTTTCCCTTTGCTATATCAGTTGTATTCAGACCACTTCTTTGTTCGTGTCCGTCTTCCACATTCCAAGGAGATTAGTAATAGCAGCAGTTTTATAAAAGGTGTAGGTACTATGGACAGCTTTCACAGCATAATCCGTTCAGATCTTTTCAAAAGAAAAGAGCATAAAATCCACTGATCTGGATTGTAAGGTTTTACCAAGAGTTCATTAAGTGGAGTCCATATACAATTCACGTGAGAATAAACGGTTGAAACAGATTCGGTTTCCGTGTGCAAACAATGGGATGTCCAACAGTGGCAGGAGTCCACATTTAATTCAAGGGCAGCAGGGAACCCATCTGTCCTAAGCGTCAGTGAATTATGCGTCATGTCACCTTGGTTTAGAGTAACCATAAGGACACCGAAGAATCAGGCTGTCGTGACTAGGTAAGACATGAGTGCTATAGTATTCGACCAGGCTTCCCATGTTCAAAAACATGATGTCTGAATCCAGGTAAAACTTGCAATCCTGTTGTAAAGCAAAAGCATATGTAATCATTGACAGTAATTTTTCCAACTCAGTGTTTAAAAAAAACCCCAAAACATCATCATCATCAGAACTAAGAAGTTCTTTCAAACAAGCTACTGCTTTGCAAACTGGTCACTTACACAAATATGTCCAAATAAACTCAGGAATTTAATATTCCTTCCTTTAGGATTTGACTGGAGCTGAAATTTAGATGTGAACATGTACAGCTAGTTTGTCTTTTGCACGATATAGCAACTAGAAAGCCCAGATCCAAGTACTCAAACTCTCATCCTAGACCAGATAGTTTTAAGATCAGCTTATTTTTACTCTTAGGAATGGGAAGGAGTTGAGACTAACAAGTTAGTCTCAATATACACCTACACACATGCACACTTTACACGCGTATATATACACATGAAATTCATACGTGTACACATAGTGCAGCTACTAACCTTTTCGAAGATTCTGTAGTTTCTCACTTTTTCTGCACATTCATCCCATACAACCAATACCTTGAAGAAGAAAAATGCAACATATTCAGTCTATGCTAATAAGCTCTTCTAAGTCAATGTATAATTAAGGAATTAGTTACAATCCACCCTAAAAAAAAATATCACTGAAGTTATGACAGTGATTGTCTCAGATTTTCTTGCTTTAAGGAGAGAGCACATGTAAATTGTTAAGTACTTTATCATATACAAGATACAGTATCTCTAAATCAAAAAGGTTTTTTGGGGGTAGATTCAGCAATTGCAAGTTACCTTTCCAGACCTAGTAGATGAGTTCCTAATGCAGTACAATCCATTTTGTGGTTGTCCCCGTGGGCTACTGGCTCTAAATGTCCTAAAAATAATACAGCAATTACATATATTAGCATTTTACATATCAGATAAGTAAAATGCCTAGATTCTTAAAATTCTTATTACAAATCTCTATTTCAGTTGTAGTAATTCATCGTACATCATAGCTGAAAGAATTTCACTGTTCTAGCATCTGAACCAGCAATGCAGCACAGAAGATCTGGCTTTCTGTCCCAGCTAGCATTCTGGCAGAACAACATTCTCCAGGTGGAACAAAATCACTTTGCAAGTACTATGCGTTTTCAATTGATACATAAGCACTGAACTAACTCCCCTAGAAAGTGCTTTCAATATTAAAAGGAATTTAAATACTTCACTGTGTTTTTAAACACAAATTGTACCTATCAATTTTCTTTGGACTACTGTTCAGTGCAGGTTTTTGTAGGACCTCTAAGCAACTATTTTAAAGTCACATCCTACCTTTCAACTTCTAAGGATTCAGAGGTATTAAGAAATACTGAAGTAGGCAGCCCAACCTGCAAAAAATATGAAGAAAATAAATCACCATGTAAGTCAATGACCACTCAAAATGCTAGCAACTTGTTATGCAAATAGGCTACAGCCATCAGTATCTGAAATTATTACTAGTGATTTAATCTTTACTTTAGGCTTCTTCCTCATTTACATCCAATAATAAAATCCAGAATTTACCAAGACATTCCTTAAAGCTCAGGAAAAAAAAGAAAGAAAAAACCACACAGCACTGTTTTCAGAAAGTTTTTTTTTTTTTTTCCCCTGAAATATGCATTTAAAACGTCCCCAAAAGCATACATAAGCAAGAAAAATACTCTTTGAGAATGGATCATCTGCTTGATCTTACTTTTTCATAGTCATCATCAGAATCATCACCAGGTTGGCTTGGCTTGGAGGGTAGCGCTGGTTTTTCAAATGAGAAGCTTCTAAAACTCTGTCCATCTGGTGATGATCTCCTGGCAGAAGCAGAACAAAAACTGAAGGACATCTCCTCAGGAAAACAGAAGAAATATACACAAAACACTAAAGGGATAATGAAACTAGAACTGAAGACTAAGTTTCAGTCTAGCCCCCAAATCACAGATTAATTTAGGTTGGAAGGGACCTCTAGAGATCATTTACTCCAAGCTCCTGCACAAAGCAGGCCCCACTAGATCAGGTAGCTCAGGAAGCCGCATCCAGCCAAGTTTTGAGTATCTCCAAGGATGGAGATTCCACAGCCTCTCTGCAGCACTCTCTTCTGGTGTTTCACCATCCGCATGGTGAGAAGTTTTTCCTAATATCTAGCTGTAATTTCCCAGGTTGTGACTTCTGCCTGTTGCCTCTTATCCTATCGCTGCAGACCTTCGAGGTCTTGCTGACTTCTCCATACCCACCCATTAAGTAGTTGCAGACAGCAGCAATCTCCCATTAGCCTGCCTAAAGGTTGAATGAATCCAGTTCTCAGCCTCTTCTCACATATCATGTGCTACAGCCCAAACGTCTTGGTGGCCTTCCACTGGACTCACTCCAGTATATCAGTGCCTTCCTTGTACTGTCTTTAAAGAATTTATTACTTGTTCTTCAGAGCTGCTAAACGATCTGAGGGACAAAAATATTTTCATCTGACTCACCACACCACTGTAACTAGTTCCACATCCCTTACTAGAGCTGATCTTAATATAAAATGAAACACATTTCCTATCTCTGCACTGTTTTTGCGGTTCATTGAGGTTCTGACATAAACGGTTCTTATTCACTGCGATCAAAGGCTTTTAAGTCTTTAAGACAGACCTGAAAACAAATAAACTACAAAATTTTGGTGTAATTTTTTTTCAAGTTTAGTTTATCTACTATTTCTTTCTGAACTATTTCAGAAACTAAACTCATTGCAAGATTTTCAAATAACAAATACAGAGGCAAAAAAGCACAACGCTGTGAGGAAGAGAGGGATGGTGCAGGGAAGAGAAACAGGTGTCGATGCGAATCTGAGAAATGTGTCAATCAACGAGTTAACTAATACCCAATGGAAAAATTTAATAGTGCATTGTATTTTCCTACTTACTGTAACTGGGAACATGAAGACTTCTCTGATCTAGGCTTGATTCCAGGGGGCTCGTGGCTTGGCACAGCTGGCTTTGGGAGCACAGGTGGCACAAACAGTCCAGGTTTACCATGTTCTCTTGGCACTTTGGGCTCTACTGGTTTTTCAGTAAACTGTGGCAGCTTGGGTTTACTGCCTGGAAGTGGAGGAGGAGTTTGCAGTGACAGGTTTAAGGTTTTTAGCTTCTCACATCCTTCTGGAGTAGCAAGAACTTGAGCTAGAGGCAGAGGCTCTGGAGGCAGTGAGCAAGGTTCTTTGACACACACAGGCTTTTTGAAAAGAGGTAGAGGGGGTACAGGGGGTGGCTGTTCACTTAGTCTCCGGCTTGAGGATTGAATCTTTAGATTAGGTTCAGCTCGGCACTGTAACTGGGATTCTCTCATCTTTAAGATATCCTCTAGTTTGATATCAGGTAAGCTTCTTTTAGGAGGCGGTGGTGGTATTGGCACAGTAGATTTGCCAGCAAAGGAATTTGCCCTTGATTCTGAGTAGGCAGCTTTTCTGACATAAGGAACTGGTGGAGGTGGGTAGGCTGGGGGCAGGACCATATCTACAGAAAGAAAACATCCAAAAAACCACGACACTGAGTAGAAATACAATATGTCAAGAAATGAGACTTTTCAAATTATTTTTTATGTGATTTAAGATATTTAATTGACATCTGGTCTGGTGGTACCCAAAATGCTGGATAAGCATTTTAACTTTCAGCACAATTCTGAATGTTATGTGTAGTAAACTCCTACAATTTTTATTCAGACATGGCTTACGATGACTTCGCAAAGAGTTTTCCCTTTGCTAAAAATAAAAAAAAAAAACCAGAGGCTACATTAAAAGCATTACCCCTCCTCCAGACTGATGACCAGATACAGGTCCTTCCAGGGCAGGAGCCCTGCAAGAAAACATGCCCTTAAAGGCACGTAACACTTTCTGTAAATTGCTACTGCTGTTACTAGGATCTTTTGACCCTAAATACCTCTCAAGATTAGATATCTGTGCATTACTTCAGTTACTTTACCACCTGCGACGCTTAAAATATGACCAAGCCAAAATAAGAATCTGGCATTCTACAATGAATATTGCCTTCATTGGTGGCCTTTCATGGCGCCTTTTGTGAAGGGAATGAAAGAAATCACATACCATCTTTCACTATGTCAGAAGTATCTGGCTGCAAGTAAGACTCATCCTCTTCCTCCTGGTCGTAATCTGCAGATAAAAATCAATGAGTCAGACTCTGATAAGTACTCCTGGAACCAAGAAAGATTATTGAGTACTTATTGCTTTTTAATAAGCAAATATTTTTCAGTTAATTTTTTCTAAAAAGTGGTGAAAAAAGATTAACAATTTTGGTCCACCTCTCTGCTATTTAGAATAGGTGTTTCCTTAAATTTTGATGTCAATTGAGAAAGCCATCGCTTACAACAGTGGAAGATGCACTATACTGCACATTAAATGCTTTCCATCTTTCAAGTTAAAATTTACTTTCTGGTGACACTTTCTAGTGTTATAGCCTTCCTGAGAAAAATTCAAATCAGCTGCAGAGACCAACTACACGTATGCACTAGCAAAACCAGTTGGAAAAAAAATAGTCCCCAAAACCTAACCCTAACACAGAAACATTGATGATTTTGCAACACAGAAGCCTAAGCAAGCCTAGTGATCTATGAAACAACTAATTCTTTCGCCTTGCACTGGCAACAAAGAAATGCACCACAACAAACGTCTTAAATGGTTTCACTGTTGCCTTAGTGGTAAGTCAGAATAATCAAGACATCCTTTCCAACCTTAATGATTCCTAGCTTTTACTTTCATTAAAAAATAATCCAGCCACCAAGCCAGGAAATATGAAATTATTACTCTACCCTTAACTGGTTTAGTGGTCGACTTGGTAGTGTTAGATTAATGGTTGGACTGGATGATCTTAAAGGTCTTTTCCAACCTAAACAATTCTATGATTCTAGGCAGTAATTTCTCATCCTTGACTACGATAGGAGCCTCAAGGACAATATGCAGTATTTCCCCAGAGAAACAGATTTAAAAAAAAGAAAAAAAAGAAGTAAGAATATCTGATAAAAAAATCAATTGGCTCCTCTAATTTTCCTAATTTAAACTACTGCTAGGCCTCTTAACATAATTTGTATTGCATACAACCCTTCCCTCCCATGAACACAGAAGTACTAAACTACAATCCTTCATGAAATGCTGATGAGTCTGCTTTCCTCTGCTTTGCAGCAATTGAACAGAATTTCCTAAAAAGACTCACTCCTGCTTTTTTGTCCTAGTCAGGAAAAACAGTCAGGAATTTCCTTTCAGGAAATGAGAGTACTTGCTCCAATCAAACCTGCCCTTAGAAATCTGAAAGGGCAGATGGGAAAATGCCTAATAAAGGAACTACATTGAACCTTGAGGCAAGGCATGTTGGATTTTACTAACGTGTATCTTGACTAGGAAGTCAGTTGCTGAAATATGCTGGGAATGCCTATCTGACAGGCTTCCTGTAATGTCCTCACTTCTAATTAAAAAATAAACACACTCAGCCAGAACTGTTTACTGGGAAACTAGAGCAATGAACAGTTACCAAACTTTGAATAGAAAAGTTTCTTTCAAAAACTTTTGAAAGGAAAAAAAAATAGAAAATGCTAAGATTTTCAGAGCCATACTTTAAAAAGTTACTCATTTTGAAAGTAATTGAAGAATGTTAACCCATGTGTTTCACATGGGCCCATCCTCTGCCTAATGCAAGATCTTCCTAAACTGCAGGGATGATCAATTCTGTTTCATACTGAACAGACTACAACACAGATGCAAGAACATCCCAGTGTGGGTGACTGCTTGTTATGCAGAACAGATAAATTAATTTTACAGTCTAGATAGGAGGTAACTAGCTCCACGTGCATTGTCTCTGCATGTTTTCAGAACATACTTTTAAGTGATTAATATCCTATTATTATTATTATATCCAATTATTGTCAATAATATTCAATTATCATAATAAAAACCACTGTTTCCACACTGTGACCTACGGACACACTCAAAAGTTTTATCTTTTTACTAGATCTACAAACTCTCTAACATGCAGCCTTAATAAAAATTTTAAATAGTATTATTACGGTGTCAGACACCTCCTTGAAAGATCCGAGTTTCTTTAGTTACCATTTATTTTTACTAATGGTTTATGGCACATAATATCTGCTTCTGATTTTAAATTACAACTACACACCTTGCAAAAACAAGAATTTATAGTTGCAAATTGGATCAGTTTGCTTAAGCTATGGGAACAGTTCCTGCAGAATCCAGAAGAAATAAGCAAGCAAATAGATCAATCTTATTTATCAGCGTCTAAATTTGTCACCTTCGTTATCTGCTGAATGATGAGAATACTTGATATCAATGGGACGTTCTACTGAGCCATAGAAACTGTCTGCATCAGAACCAGAGTCACTGCAAAAGAAAAGACAGAATACCTTCTGCATCACTCTGCTATGGGTCTTGGGACAGTAAACATGCCTGTTACCAGGACTGCAGCACTGGAAAGAAATGCTGGAAAAGCAGAAGCAATCTATTCCTACTTCCCAATTAACAGCCAGATATGTTGCTGCTGTCATTTTAAAGTTTTTATTTGTTTTACATAAAGCTGACATTTAAAGTTCTCTTAGTAAAAAGATTTATTTTTGTCTTGGTATTCTTTAAACTATGCGTTAGGAAGGCCTTTCATTCTTGGGCCTTACTGCACCTGTTTTTATTTAACAGTAAATTACTTGTAGGTGCAAAGAGCCTAAAACACCATTGTCAAGAGCTAGTGCAAAAGGGATAAAAAAACTAATAAAGATTAGGGGTTGATACCTGAATTCTGTTATTGTTTCTTTCTTCTCATGGTAGTGATCAATTTCCATCCTAAGGGATAGCATCCAATGCTAAATAAGAATAAAAACACAACATTCAACACAGGCATCTTTAAATCATTAAATGAAGAGGCACAGTATCTGTCCTCTGTAAGAACAGGGTAACCATGCAAGGAAGCTACATTGAAATAGTGTTTATCCATGACTTTATTTATGCATTGAGAGAACTCATCAGTCAAGATGTTTTGACCATCTAAAATGCTATAAGAACGTATTAAAATATTAAACTTTCCGTTTGTGAATTTCAAACTGTTATTTCTAAAGCCAGGTACTTGTTCATAGTATGTTTACGGGCAAGAGGTTTCACTGAACAGTTTTCACACTTTATCAAAGGTTTAACATACAAATATTTGCTCCTTGGCTAAAAAGAAAATGAGCAATATGGAGAAAACCATGACATCTAGTATGTCACTTATAGCCATTCCCTGAATTACAACTTGACCTAACACTAATTTAATAGTTAAAACTTCAGACATGATTCTCAGAGGAGCCCAAAGAACTAGGTATACAAATTTCAGTGACAGCTGTGCATCCAGTTCACTTAGATTTTAGGGAAGTCCAAGATTCACTTTCTGCTTCAAGGAAAATTATATTGCAAAAGAAGAAGAAAGTTACCTTTCTTTCATCTTCAGAAGAAGCTGAAAAAAACCACGTCCTGTGCTTCTTGCTAATGTGAACTAACTTGAAAGGAAACACATTGCTTGATGTTGTCTCCTCAGCGGCCCGCATAACCCTGAGAAACAGAACCACCAATGCATAAAAACCTTAATCTATAAAGTTAATTCTGCTCTGCAAGTCATAAAGCTCTGATAGAAAGCAGTTTTACTGGCCAGTTTTGCCTCACCAAAAATAACCCCCAAGCCCAGGAAAATGCCACAAAAATCCCCATACGTGCATTTGTTGTACTTCTCCATTAAAGTGGTAGAAAGGACAATGCAAGAGCAGTGACAGGAGAAAAAGCACTAGTGAAACCACCAGCCAGACTTATAAATGGATGTTTTCACCTGTTCAATAGTTTTAATGAATTGCATTAATTCACAATCGTCACACCATGGCAAAAAGTATTTAGGATGCCTGTGATCCTTATTTCAGAAAGGCACAGAGGAGAAATCAGAACACAGGCTGTCCATGAAAACTTTTAATATTAGTTTTCATTCATTAAATTAATTCTTCCACTTTTCCCTTATAAACACTTTCTTGCACTTTATAATTTTAAGCCGAGCATAGCTCAACTTCTTTCACAAACTGCATTAGATATGCTTGTTTCTTTTTATTTCCCCACCCCCAGCAGTGCCCCAAATGAAGAAATTCCTTACACATACAAAAATGTAGTTGTAAATGCTCGCTCTAAGGCTTTGGAACAAATAAGGAGACTAAAATCCTAAGAGTGGGTAATCTAAAAGTAACATTTTTAAGATTTATTCAGCATAAGCCATAGAGAAATCTTATTAAAGCTTTTACAATCATTATTGGGGCTTGCTTTCCTGTTCCTAAACTTTTTAACTCACCAGTTTCCTCATATAATATGGTATTTCTGTAAGTCCTTAATATTTAGGGAAGGTGGTTTGTAAACATAGGAAAAAGATTATCAGAGACATTTGGGATTTGGATAGGTACCTAATCAAGATAACATTGTTTTGGCCTTTCGATACTTAAAGGGGGCTTATAAGAAAGATAGGGACAGGCTTTTTAGAAGGCCTGTTGCAACAGGACAAGGGGTAATGGTTTTAAACTAAAAGAGGGTAGATTCAGACTAGATAAAAGGAAGAAATTTTTTTAATGATGAGGGTGGTGAAACACAGGCACAGGTTGCCCAGAGAGGTGGTAGATGCCCCATCACTGGAAACATTCAAGGTCAGCTTGGACAGGGCTCTGAGCAACCTGATCTAACTTGAAGACGTCCCTACTCACTGCAGGGGGGTTGGACTACGTGACCTTTAAAGGTCCCTTCCAACCCAAACTGTTCTGTGATTCTATGAAAAACATACCTAATCAACACCCTGAGGCTGCCATTAATAACAACGTCAACTGCAAAATTACTTCAGAATTAGAGATTACATCTTTTTAGAACCCCAATCCTACTTTTAAGCTACAGGTTGTAGTTTTCTGCGTCTGCTGTTGTAGTTTTCTGCATCTGACCAGTCCAAAACAAAGCCACAAAAGGAACTATAAATTACTTCTCTAATGTAAGGCTAATAACGATGTTAATGTGGGAAATAGCTATGGTACAGCTGGGGGGATACTAGCAATAGGCATCACTATACATTTTGAGTCACTAGTGAACACAGCACTTTCTCATCTCCTGTCCACTCTTTAACACATAAAGGCTATGGAATGAAAACTGCAAAACAGAAGTCCAATGAAGCCTCAGAGTGACTTGTTTTCACACAAACTTATGCAACTACCAATTCTAACAAATTCTTTCATTTCAAATTCTTTTTCAATAATGCTTATGCCTGTGCATAATATTAAGCCAGACCTGGTCCCAGTTCCAACCAAGGTCTCTACAAGGCTGCTAGAATGCAGACATATAAAAAGCAATGAGACAGTCCCTAGCATTTACAAATCCCATGGTATTTTTACATTAATGTGATTACAGAAGCTAGTATAATGGCCAAGTTACAGTATAGGTTACTTATACAAATTAATCTCGAATCCTTAATTAGCTACAATGATTACAACTGCATGCCTAAAAAATAACTGACCATTGTTGTGGTCAGTTAGAAAGCTCTCACATTCTAGTAACAGATATTTCCTTATTCCAAAAGTCTGAGAACATTATGCAGTACAGGAATGACATACATGCTTACAAATACAATAAAATTGCAGTGGTTAGGACCAATAATGTGATCTACATTCTCTCTCATTAGCATCAATTACAACAGCAATGTCCTGAAGTTAGGTTGGACGTCTATCAGTAGGCCTTGTATGTATGCTGCACTCAGATTCTGATAGTACTGGTTAACTTGAAAGCCATTATTTTTGTCTTCGACTTAAGCCAGTATTAAGATTTATAACGTGTAGCGAAATGAGTCAGACATTTTGCACATGCATTCTCTCATTTATCACTCCCTTGGTTCAATTTTGACACTAGTGTTACTGAATCAGTAACTCCATAAATATTCCTTTCTGATTCCTTCCCTATTTTTGTGACTAGCATTGAAATCACTAGAGAACAAAGATCACTTGTCTGAAAGAATCCACATGTATCTGCATGTGCAAAATCTGCAATAAGTCAGTAACACGAGTAAGCACATTGTAATTTTAACAGCTTTACTGGTTAAATTACAAAAGATGAAGGCTATACACTTGCAAAGCCAGGAAACATCATATATACAATTTGAAAGGAATACATCTCTTGGAATCTGAGATCAGTGCGTAACCCAAACAACAGATGTAGTTGAGTTTAACTGAGTTGCAAATGAAAGCCATACCCCCCTGCATTATGTAAAAGGAGCTTGGGTGTTAAGTAAGTTTGGCACTCACCTGTTGTAACCATTCAAAGAAAATGCACCCTGTGGAGATGCAGATGTGCTGCTCTTAAAATAGTAAATACATCCCTCGTGGATAATCACAAATCTCAATGGCCCTGAAAAGATAACAAAAAAAAGTCAGCAAAATATAAATCCAAAGGCAGTATATTAACTAGAACCTCTAGCAGAGGTAGAATTATTGTTTAAGATCTTACTAATCTTATTAATCATTATAAAAGAGCACAAACTAGTTAAGTGACAGCTTGTTGATGACCAGCCACATGGTAAAGCTGTCCATTCACAGAGTTTCAGGACTAAGGGTAGTATTTGCTTCCCTCATTTGAGAGGCAGCTGATTTGATAACTTCAAAAGAAGCCTAAGAGACTGTAGTTCTGACCTCCACCTGTGCTCTTTTACTAGAGGAATAAGCTAACATAAGAATGCAACCTAAAACAAAATGGGAGAAAGGTGGCCACAGGCTACAAATACATGTTTATGTCCATTCCAAAACCATGACGGTATCTCCCTCTCTTCTTTCACCTCCAGTACATAATAAAACAATGGTTTATTTTCTTTTTTTAAAGGGGCCAAAATTCCTTCCTCTATCAAAGGCAGTATTCTTCGTCCTTAACTATGTAAGTATAGTTTAGTTATAGACAAGGCTAGCAAATGAATAGCATATAAATAAACCCAAAATCTTAAGTTCTCTCCATGTAAATAGATTCTGATTCCAGAAGCAATTACTGTTTTTAAGTACAGCCTAATGTTGGCAGTGAGAAAATTTCCATTTCACAGCAGCAGTAGAAGATGGGGATATTTTTCCAGTACAGAATAACCAACTGGAAAAAAAGCCAAGTACTAATTTCATTTAGAAAAGAATATTTGAAACTGATACATATCCCAGGAATCTGTTTCTGTCTTTAAAACCTTGTGAAGAACTAGACATGAGTTTTAACCAAGAAAATCAATTGCAACGTTTATCATCTAAGACTTACAGTTCCAAAGCAATTAAAGGAAATTCTTTCAATATGGGTCTTTCATACATATATTCCAGTAAAATTGTAATCCATTACAAAGTAAGTGGAAGAACAGCTTCATTAAATAGTCGGCTAACATGAAATGTGTTAATGGCTCCAAAGGCAAGCATTTAAAACATTTAATTTAACTAATACCTCATTCAACTTACACTTCAAGATCTGCAGCTGGGTGCCTCCTTTTTTATGAAGATACCCTGATTTGGTCACTCCTCCAGGCATTGTCAAAAGGTTTTGTGCTCCAATTGCCTTCATTGGGACTGGCCAGACCTGCTCCTGCGAGGCCATCATTCTGCAACGTAGAATAATTAAAAACAGTTTAAAAGTTAGGTTTTACTTTACGAAACGAGTACCAAGAAACAAAGCTTGTTTCCTTAAACAAGTTTTCCAAACAACTAACACGTTTCAGCAGTCAAGTATGTAGCACAGACGGGTGTTCACAGATTCCAGGAAGTTTGTAATGTATAAAAAACATGGTGCAAAAAGTCCCGAGTTATTTTTATACAGCTCTCAAAAGTGATTGACAGTTGTTGAAACAATGAAAGAGTGCTTAGTAAATGTTATTTAAGTACTTATATTTTAAAAATGCCTCAGATAACACTGTGAGACTTAATCAGGCAGGTGACTAGAAAGGAAATCAGCTGCTTCTACCACACATGTAGATACAATATAATTTGCTGTATAATGAGGGAATCAACAGTCATATTTTAGTAACTGCAGTATCCAATACTACTGACTCCTTATATTTAAATGTTTTGTTCTGAATGAAAGCATTAGTATATAATCTCATACTGGATGTCATACGTGACAGCATCCTGTGCAAATGAAGTTTCTCTCAGATTGCTGCAGACTGCCATTTAATTTATATATCAATTATTAATACCACGCTCCACCAAGCACCTTTGCAGTTACCACTCTGTGCTATCATCTTGAACAGGTTACCAAGAAAATCAGTTTCTTAGTAGTAGTTTTTTTCTGTCTGATATATCACTATGAGACCTTCCTTTCTCCAACTGCTAAGAACTAGGCTAAAAATCCTACTGTGTAATACAGAAAAGAAATCATGCATGAACTGAATGGGAAGTTCGACCTAGACATAAAATGGTTTATTATCCTCAGGTGTAGGGCTAGAGATCTTTGCTGGTAAGAGGCAAACTAATGAAGTTCCAGTTAATTAGTTTCTGATAAAGGAATGATGGTTTAGAACTGAAAAGCTTTTAGTGGAGGACTGAAATCTAATGGATCCTGTTTGCTTCTCCTTTCCCCAAAAGGGACAGTAATGGAAGTCAACAGCGTAGCTCAGTACAGGAATCCCAGAGCCTACAGCACGACACACCTACCCGAGCACTAACCTCTCCAGCCTAAGATGGCAACTTGAAGTACCTATACTGAAAAGAATAACCAAGTGATACAGTTTTATTGAGGGATTATTTGCCCCAGTAGAATACATATCTATTGTATATGTGTTAGGAAAAACAGAAATGCAAGTCAATTGATCTTTCAGTGGACCAGCTTAGGGTTTAGAGCTAACTCCTTGCCCTTTGCTGCCGATGCATGTGTGGGGAGCGGTAGAAATTACTAACAGTTTCTACCAGGAGAGTTTAAACTCAATTAAATTCTCTAGGCAGCCCAGAAAACTTAATCACAAATATTACGTTTCGGTCCCCAGTGTTATAAAACAGGCACAGGCAGAGAAGATAGGATCCAAGGCCCTAGAAAGGTTCTCACAGCAGACACTGCAAGGCACCATGGTTTCCCAATTTTCTTCCAGGACCTTCCTGCCCACCAAAAGGTAAGTTACTTTTGTTGTATTCAGCTATATCCTTCCTTCTGCTATTTCCTCCCTGTTCTTATTATATGATTGAAATCTTTCCAAGCTGAGTTGTTCCTTCCTGCTCCTCCCCAACAATAAAATTTCTAGCAACAGCAATGTGTTAACAGGTCTAAGAGGGGGCTATGCAC